TTAAGATTCATCAATCCATCCAATGAATGTTGAACTCCACATACATGGATTTACTGAAGACAATAATATCAAGACTAAGAATGGAAATATAAAGGCATGAAACAAGGGTAACACTTCAACTTAAATTCTGGGACACGGGACTAAAGCTCAGATAATTCTTTATAATGGTAATAAATTTGCTGGAACCATCACACATCTGTCAGACCTTTCTGAGATGGACTGACATTATCATTTAAATAGAAATCCTTGCCTTCATTTACTAGCTAATGTATACTGCTCTCCAGGTAGCAGACAAGTCTAGTGATATAGTAGAGCAAAGGATCAAGTAATCTGATTTTCCAATGGGCATTACTATATATTTGAATAAGAGAGTCATAAATACTAACCTAAGTACCTATTTTAAGAAGCCAAAGACAGGCACAATACTGAAGTATATATGGAATCTATATACAACAGTAATCATGGGTGTATGAAGGACCATCTGGGCATGTAGTGGTGAGCCGACTGACTGGAAGACTGGATCCATCCAACCCTGGAGTACAACACATGGAGATGTGTCTCAGCTCTGAAAATGGGTGTCCATAAGCACAACACAATGTACCTCTAAGGCCTAATTTTTAAAGTCTGTTAATGACAGGAATTTGACTCTCAATCTTTTTACTCATGAGATACTTTTTGTAATATCAAGCATTTCTTGGATACCCAGATAATAAAAACCTGTTGGTAGTTGAGAAAAAATTAAGCATAGATAGACTCACAGATATCTTACATTAAACCTGTAAACTACAGCCTGAGAACCACTGAGGTTAATAATATTTAGAGTTTTCATGTCCAAGACTCTATGATTCTTCCATAGCTTTCCTGGAACACTGTGCAGGATGAGGTACCCACTACTCCCTGAGGCAGCCCATTTTGTTGTTAGTTGTCCATGGTGTTAGGGAAAATGCTAAGCAGTGACTCTTCTTCCTCTAACCTCTACTTACTGGGCCCTGTTCTGCCTCTGAACAACATGAACTAACCACGATTTCTACCACACAACAACTTTCCATTACCACCCTGAAATCCAGAAAAGATTGGCAGCTTACATACAAATCATAGCAGAACTGTGTACATCAGAGAAAGGGGAAGAGAAAGAAGGAAAAAAGTGAAGCCAGAAAATGAGCTTCAAAATCCGCTACTAATGGTCCACTTATATGCTATACCTGGAACACAAATGTGGCTTCGTGTTTTTGACCAGTTACCTTTCAGAGGGACACCTCATTAGTTGCACCATATACAAGGTCTTCAAGAACAACTTTAAGTTGTCCTTGTGCTCCTGCTGCAGCGGTCAGCCTAGAATAGCCACCATGTTTCCTCATAGAAAAGTCCATTGGGATGTCCTGAACCACAGGTATCAAATTTTCTGTATAAAGGCTACAATGTGAACGACATTTTGCCAAAGTACTGTGTAGGAAAAGCAATTCTTTGAAGGGCTAAAAGAGTGAGGTCTAGGTACTTAATTCCCTGCTGTAGATATGGCTTGATCTGGCTCGATTCTGGAATATTTGGAGGAGAGCAGCAAATGGTTATCTTTTATGTAGTTTTGTTTGGATATCTAGTCTTTTAAGCAAGGTGTTGATAAATATTGATTAAACTTTTGATTAAATATTAAATAAAGGGGCGCCTGGGTGGTGCAGTCGGTTAAGCGTCCAACTTCAGCCAGGTCACGATCTCGCGGTCCGTGAGTTCGAGCCCCGCATCAGGCTCTGGGCTGATGGCTCAGAGCTTGGAGCGTGTTTCCGATTCTGTGTCTCCCTCTCTCTCTGCCCCTCCCCCGTTCATGCTCTGTCTCTCTCTGTCCCAAAAATAAATAAACGTTGAAAAAAAAATTTAAAAAAAATAAATATTAAATAAGTATACATTGTATGCCAGGTATTGTTCTAAGCACTTTACACATATGATCTCATTTCATTGTCATAACAGTCTTATATGGGGTTGCTATAATACACCCTGTTTTAGAGATGAGGAAACTGAAGTGCAGAAATATTAAGACCAGTAGTAATTGGTGGAGACAGGGTTTGAACTAAGGCCTCCAACCCAATCTCCTTTTTAACCACTACAGAATCCCCAAAAGCATGTTGGTTGGGTTAACATCCTTTCCTGAAAGTCAAGAGTTTGAAGGAAAAGGGTAACGATGAGGTCAATTTATCTACGTTGAGAAGTCAAAGCAATGGGAATTGATGTAAGCCTCAACAGGAATATGGGGATTGGGGCAAAAAGACAGGGAGAGAAAGGAAAACATCAAGTTAGGTGCATAGTTTAGAAAGTCATTTCTTTGTTCTTTTTCCAAATTCTTCAAATTGCAAACTGTGGGTTCAGAATATGTTCATGAATTCTTTGACACTCTTTTCTTTAAGACAGTGCCTAACTGCCGTCCCTTTCAGGGTGGGCTGGATCTTACACATCAGTTCTAATGAATGAAATAAAGTCATGGGGTGACCTTGGAGATCAGGTCACACAGGCACTGTGGTTTCTCTTCGCTCTCTTGGATCATTTGCTCCAGGTAAGTTATCTGCCACTGTTGTGGACAAATAGCCTAAGAAGAGGGCTGGGTGGTGGGGAACTGTGGCCTTCTGCCAGTAGCCAGTGAGGAACTGAGGTTGTTTTCAGTCTGTTATCATGTGAATGAACCATTTTGGAAGTGGATCTTCCAGCCCCAGTCAAGCCTTCAGATAACTACAACCCAGCTTGACTACAGCCTCATGAGAGACCCTGAGCCAGAACCACCCAGCTAAGCTACTTATGGACTCCTGACCATCAGCGACTGTGAGATAATAAATGTTTATTAATTAAACATCTAGAATTTGAGGTTATTTGTTATGTAGTAATAGATAAGTAATCTATAAACTGACAAGCACACTTTCAAAAACAACAAAACAGAACAAATAAAAATAAAATAAAACTCATCACCTATAATTTTGAAAGGACAAAGAAATATTCTGAAGATAGCTATCCTCATTTAGGTAAGGTTTGCGCCCAAACTCTTCAATCCAAAGATATTAAAGCAATTAAATTCACTCCCAAAGTAATTTTCCATGATTTGGAGCTTAAATGTATGTTATTTACTTACAATGTGACATTGTATGCAAAAAGGAAGCTATAGTTGTTCAATATTTAAAATTACATAAAACTTTTGAAGCCCTTTTTTTATGTTTATTTATTTATTTTGAGAGACAGTTTGTGTGTGTTAGCAGGGCCTTGAGGGGTGGAGAGAGAGGGAGAGAGAGAACCCCAAGCAAGCTTAATGCTGTCATCACAGAGCCTGACATGGGGCTCCATCTTACGAACTGTGAGACTGTGATCCAAGCCAAAATCAAGAGTCAGACACTCAACCAGCTGAGCCATCCAGGCAACCCAAATTTTCAAAGTTCTTTAAAGCAAATGAATAACTGAATGCAGAAGATGGGCCAAAGAAACTCTTTTCCCCATAAAAAATGTTAAGATCTTAACATCCAGCTTTAAAGAATGGAACAACGGTAGGCAATTAGCAGGCAGAAACATACAATTTAGATATTAGTGAAAAACTTTTATAAATTATTTTAAAAGAAAACATTCACTAGCATTCTGATCCCAGAATTTATCAGCTTGCTCAGGCCACACCCAATCGGCGCAGATTACACAGTAAATGATGATGATCGGGGCTGCAAAGTGTAGTTTGATTTTCATAATTTCTAAAAGTAGCAAACATGACTTGTGTTTCCATCCCAATGTGATCATGACTATTAATCCAGAGCCATTTTTTTCTGAGTAGGCATCATGGTATCTCACTGGTTTTCAATGTCCACTTTCTCTACATTATGGCTCAGCTCAGGGCTTTGCAACCCACTGCATGACAGATAGCTTTACTAAGGACAACAGATACCACCTTATGCATAGGTGACTTACAGCTCTCAGCCAAAAATTAGGCCCGGGCAATATGCCTCTGCCATCAACACTCCTTCCAGAAAGCTCCTCATGAAGTTGCAATTTTAAAAGAAATGTTTTCCCATCAAAATTCAATAGCATTTTATAAGCACATATACCTTCTTCCTTTTCTGGCCTGCATGAAATTTAATATCAGGATTATTATCCATTTTTCATTTCAACCTATAATTTAGCAAGCCTTTTTGTGTTTGAGTTATGCTCCCCTCACACCTTCACTGTCAGCTTGCAGCCATAGATTCATTCAAGAAGCCATCTGGGTCATATTGGTTGACCTCTTAGAACAAACATTTTCCATGTTTCTTATTCTGCTTCCCTAAGAGGCACCATTAGTTTTGCTCATCTCTATTTAGAATGATTTTTATGACACAATAAAATTTCAAGTTTTCCATATTAATCTTCATTTTATTTCTTGAAATACTTAGGCAAACAATTTTGTTAAGACATCACTGATGGGAAATCCTCTTTCCCCTTTACTCTGCCTACTTAAAGTAAACTCTGAAAAAATAATAAATATTTTCTCTGAATCAGCTGAGCACCAGAGAGAGAGTTTAAAATCTGGTCTAGTAATTCACAATGCCTTACAGAAAACACTGTGATAAACGATTAAAGCAAAAAATCTGAATAGGACATCAATGAAGGTCTATGTTCATATTTGGGATCCTACGTAAGAATTTAAAAATCTCATGTCTTTTTTTTTTAAGTTACTCATTTTGAGAGTGAAAGAGAGAGAGAGAGAAAGAGGGAGAAAGCATCTCAAGCAGGCTCTACACGGTCAGCACAGGGGGCTCCAGCTCATGGAACCATGAGATCACGACCTGAGCTGAAACAAAGAGTCAGATGCTTAACCAACTGAGCGGCCCAGGTACCCCTAAAAATCTATTTTCTTATACATCAGTTCAAGGACATCTGAGTACAAAGGGAAAAATGAAAGTAAAACAGATAATCTTTGCCAATTTGCCAAAAAAAAAAAAAAAAAAAAAAGAAAAGAAAAGAAAAAGCACACAAAATCAACACCCAAAGGTGTAGGTGGTACTTACCCCGCAGCCCAGACCATTTCCCCCTTCACAAGTGACCTTCCTCCTGCCTGGCTCGGGAAGCAGCCCTGCTCCACAGCCAGGGTGAGGGCACAGCACGCCCCCCATCTGGAGCACACACTCTTCAGCGCCATATTGCTGGTACCGGTTGTACTGTAAAACACAACATGGGTTTTTCAAAGTGATAATATGAAGATGTGCTGTTTTAGCCAAAATGTTAACAGCTGGTGGTGTGTGGGTTTTCTTGTTAATCTGTTTTGGTAAAAAAAAAAAAAAAAATGGGGGGGGTGGATAAGGTATGATCCAACACAATGAAAGTCTTTCCAATTGCAATTAGCAAAATGGATAACTTTGTATTTCTAGAAATTGGTCCTAAATATTTCCCCCCAAAGTTTGGATTTGTTTTTTAAATTTTTTTTGATGTTATTATTTATTTTTGAGACAGAGAGAGACAGAGCATGAGCAGGGGAGGGGCAGAGAGAGAGCGAGACACAGAATTGGAAGCAGGCTCCAGGCTCTGAGTTGTTGGCACAGAGCCTGATGCGGGGCTCAAACTCACGAGCTGTGAGATCATGACCTGAGCTGAAGTCGGATGCCCAACCGACTGAGCCACCCAGGTGCCCCAGTTTGGATTTTTAATATTACTAACATCACCTCCATTTAACAGTCTTATTTCAGGAATTTTAGGAAACATATCTATATTTTAAGTTATGGACACATAATGCATCATTATCAGTCTTATCAAGTGGTATATTTTCATGCCTCTATTCAGGTGTCTATGAGTTTTTGAAACCATTTTGAAAATAGGTCCTGATATTCTACCCTGTGCTAATTGTGGGCAGCTCACAGGATATCTGAGCACATCTGAGGAATACTGAGCACATTCAGCTTGATGAAGAAGATTAATGTTTTCCTTTCATCATTGTTCTCTTTCTTAAAGTATGGTTTCTTTTATCCCTGACTTCATCATGCCCTTGCATGGCTCGACCCCCTCCTTGGTTTCCCCAGCCCGCAGAATAAAACTACATAGTGCAGGTTCCAAGGCCATCCTATTGCAGCCTTGTTATTGTTCTCCTGGTGTTATTTGATCATATTCTCTTCTAAACTCAGATCAAGTCAAGTGGATTTGCTTGACTGTTAATTAATTTATGCAACCTTCATTGACAGGTTACTATGGTCAGACGGTGGGTGCTGGGGATACTGCAGGGGACAAAATAGACACCTGTGCTCTCATCCACATGCGGATAATGATAAACACTGAAAGGTTATATTTCAGTGGGAAGGAGAATAAAAAACAGGGAAGAAACAGATTTGGGGGAAGATGGGGACTACAGTTTTGAAGGGGTGATTAAGAGAGAGGGGATGCCTTATAAAGAAGATACATGTGGGCAAACATCGAAGGGAGATTAGAAAAGCAAACCATGTGGCTACCCATGGGAATGGGCTTTCTGGCCAAGGACAGAGCATTACCAAGATACAGAAGGCAGAATGTGCTCGGTGCTGTGAGACAGCAGAGGCCAGTGTGGCTGAGTGAGACGGGACAGGAAATGGCAGAAAACATAGTCAGAGAGCTCTTGGGAATCTGGGCTCTGTGGGTCCCTGAAGGCCAGCAGAAGAGTCTGGCTGCCTTTCTGAGAGAAACAGGAACCATGGAGACTTTGGAGCTGTGGGGTGACATAATATGACTAATCTTCTAAAGATAGCCATCTGGCTGAGGTGTTCAGAATAGACTCTTGGGGGCAAGGAGAGAAGGAGGAAGCAGAGGGGCAGGCGGGAGGTTTTCGGCAATCCACATGGAGGATGGTGGTGGCTCAAACCTGCAAGCCAGTGGTGGAGGTGGGGATCACCTGGATATATGGTGCAGGTAAAAATGGCAAAAGTTTTAGGCAGATTGGATACATGGTGTGAGAAAAAAAAAGAGTCAAACCTGAACATAATGTTTTTGTCTGAGAAGACAGAAGGACACACACACACACACACACACACACACACACACACACACACACAGAGACAGAGACAGACACAGAGAATGAATAACTGAGATGGAAAGACTTTAGAAGGACAGTGTGTGCATGTGCATGTCTATATGTGTGTGAGTGCCTGTGTGTGAGTGCCTGTGTGTGTGTGTAGGTTGGGAGTTGAGAAAAGGAGCCATTATTTCTATTGTACTTATCTTCAGTTTAATAAACTGCTATGCAGCTAAGTAAGATGTTGAGTGGCTAACAATGTGTGAGTTTGGAGTTTAGGAGAAAGAAGTGGGTTGTAGATACAAAATTTGGAATCATATGTGCATGGAGGCTGGGAAGAAAAGGGTTAGCACCAGGCCTCCCACGCATTGTCTCATTTTTCTGGCCCCAGGAAAGAAAGAAAGATGACTTGGTCAAATCCTCTTGTAAACACGCTAATGATACATCCATACAATGGCATTTGCTAGAAAAGATTCTTAACTGTGGAATACATTAAGCAGGAAATGCTTAAGTGATGAATGATTCCTTGAATGATGAGTGATGGGATAGCTTATATAATTGAGAGATTGCACATTAATGATCATTCCAGGTACTTCTCAGAGGCCTCATTCATTAAGTCTTGCCTGTAGTACACCCTGATACGCTGAGAAACGACCCAGGGAGCTCTGCTAAATGACGCAGACTTCTCTGTGGTTTGTGGGCACCTCATTTTTACCCGCCTTTGAAGCCATTAGGAGAGTGGGACACAAGGTTACATCTAGGATTCCTGAGTGTCTGACTTGACAGCCTGACTCTGTGTTATCTCCATAGCCATGAGACTAGCTGAGACCATCTAACCTTTGTAGGGAAGATGAGAAGGAGCCAGCAAAGGGCACTGAGAAGCAGCAGCCTATGAGGCAGGTGGGAAATGAAAAGGATGTGGGTGTCCTGGGAGCCAAGGGAAAAAAATACTTGAGTGAGGGTGTCATGATAAATTGTCTCAAAAGCTGCCCAGAAGGCAATTACTGGAAACTGGCTGGAGCTGGAAATACAGATGTCATTGGGGTCTTGGCAAGAGCCATTTCAGTGGAGTCATGGAGCCAAAAATCTTAGTGGAGTCAAATGGAGTCAGGACAGAATTGGAGGAGAGGAATTCCAAGAGGCAAGAATGGGTTCTTTTCCCCGTAGGAGTTTGGCTGAAAAGGAGAAAAGAAACATTGGATAGCAGCTGAAGGGGACAGAGGGATTGTAAAGGATTTTCTGAAAATGAAGAAATAATATCTTTATATGCTGAAGGGAGGGGGTGGGAAGAGAGGAGAGAGTGGATGATGTCAGCTGGGAAACGAGCTATATCCTAAGGAGGTGGCACACAACATCCTCTCATGGAACTGTGAATGATTTCAATAAATATTTATCGGAACCCTCTGAGGTGCTCAGCTCAGTACTGTACCACTAGACCTTTCAACTTTAATGCCTTGGCCTCGCCAAAATGGGTATGAAGTTTTAGTTTTATAAGATGAATGAGTTCTGGAAATCTAATGTACAAAATGGTAGTACAGTGAATAATACTGTATTGTATACTTGAAATTTACTAAGAAGGTAGGTGTTTCAGAACAACAGGGCTTCGATTTACCATTTTCTGTTTGACATTTGTATTTGCTTCTTCTACACTGGTTTTTAAGAACACAGAGATTGGTAGAATAAAACACTATCCCACAATAGCTCAATGGCCTTATCTCACACACATACAAGGATATAGAATAATAGTACCAATACTATCACTATGAATATGATTACTAAAAACCTCAAATATATTTTCACATGCTCTACCGTTTCTTTTGCCAAATTAAAAAAAATGTTTTTTTGTTTTTTTTGTTTTTTGAGAGAGAGCGTGAGCAGGGGAGGGGCAGGGAGAGAGGGAGAGAGAGAATCCCAAGCAGGCTCTGAGCTGTCAGCCTAGGGCCCAACCTGGGGCTTGATCTCATAAACCATGAGATCGTGACCTTAGCCAAAACCAAGAGTCTGATGCTTAACCAAGTGAACCACCCAGGAGCCCCATTGCCAAATTTTTATAATAATACTGTATCTACTTTGTTGGAATATACACCCGTTCCATACTATGCTTTGTTTCTCTTACTTTTCATGTTATCTTAAGTGTAAACACACACACATGTACACACAAACACACAAACACACGTAATGTTCCCCACAAGTTCTTATGTTGATATCTTTCCAGTAATTTTGGTTGTTAGAAGCTTGTTCTCTAGTAAATTACTTGGAAGGAGTGTATAGGAAAAATATTCACTGAGGACTTGCATATCCATGACAGTTTATTTGGGATCTTTATTCTTAAAAATGAATTTGGCTGGATATCAAGTCCTAGGCTCACATTTTTTCCCCCTTGACCATCTTCACTGTCTTACTCCATGTTCTTCTGGTGTAAGGTGTTATGGACAAGCCTGATGACAGTTTAATTTTTTTTCCCCTTTATACATTCAATTGATAATCTTTTCGCCTAGATGCCCAAAGGAATTCTCTTTCTTTAGAATATGGTAGTTTTGTTAGAATATATCTTGATGCTGGTCATTTTCTGATCGATTTTTTTGATTCAAGGAAGCTGTATTGCATTTGATTTTCAGTTATTTGCTCTATTTTCTTGCTTCGATGTGTTTCTTACAGGATTTCTAGTATATGTATATTGGATCTTCCTTACTCACCTTCTAAATCTGTCAAATTTAATCTCTGGAATCCTTTATCTCACTTTACTTTCAGTTTTTAGAAGTTTCTTCCTTTTCACTTCCTCTTTTAAGACACTATCTGTTACTTATTTTTATTTGTATAATTTCTTAATAACATGGTTCTTTTTGAAATAGTTACTTTAGCTTCCACCGGACTGACGTGCTTTTATTGTCTCTCAGGACATCATTCTGTTCTTCATTCTCTGTAGCCTCTTAAAAATTTTATGGGATTGAACCTTGCTTCTTTCTGCTGCACAGTTTTACATGAAATCAGTCCTCCTGACACTTTAGAAACAAGTAGGATCCAGAATAGCTCTTGGTGCCTCTGGAGTTTCCTCTTCTGGTTTTGGGGGTTTGGGATAAACGCATGGGGGCTCACCTTCTGTGACCTCCCAACTTTGTTGCCCTACTTTTAACTGGATTTCCTCTTTCCTTGTCCCCTTTTCTGTGCCAGGCACATTTCTGCTCA